TGTAACGCGTGGTGGTAATAGTTTAAATAACTAGATGGATTTCACAGGGTCTAACGACACTTACAGTGTACGATAATTCAATAAACAAAAAAATGTAAATAAAAAATTTAGATAAATTTGGAACGAATACACTGAAGATGAATTTTTCAAGACAAAACGTCTGAATCTGGTTCGGGCTGAGGCAGTACAGTATTGGGGGTCATGAAGGTTTGCAAAAAATGTAATAAAATTTCCAGGGTCGTATTTAAAAAAATGAAGTTGATGGTGATCCTGGAGAGAGGAAACGTTAGATATAAAAATTGATTATGCCATTCGATAGAGGGCAAAAAGTGGCCATGAGAAAGTATTCTTCTTTCAATATCACGTCATACAAGGCTGAAATGAAACAAAAACGGATTTCCAAAATTTCGTTTTTTTTTCAAATATTTCAAAAACTAAACATGTTAGCCTTGATTTTTTAGAGGCATAATGTTGGTCCCCTGATTGCGCAACTTTGCCCCTATTTATCGCCACGGTAGCGCAGTCGGTAGAGAGTGCGGTGGCAAGCATTTCTAGGCCAGGCTTCCTATTCTGGTCCGGGTTCGATCCCCGGTGTCGGCACTGGCAATATCGATGGATAATGGGTGTTTGTCCGCGTTTTTTCAAGTGTAGCCCCCTTCCGCACAGCCTTTGGCTTTGGATTTGGGGGTTGTCTCATTTCTGTGGTGTGTTTTATGTTATGTTATGTTATTTAAGCTACTTCATACCTCTTACCGTTTCCGAGATCCCTGTAGTGAGAAGCGAATTTGTAACAGCCTGTAAATCGTTCTTTCTTTTACACAAGAGTTTCAGGGAGGTTAACGCCAATTGCGGTTATATTGTTGGCGTAGCATATTCTCTATAAACTACTCAGTGTCAGTCTGTATCGAAATATTAATTACTTGCTGCATTATAGATATAAATTGGCACGATATTAATGCATAACATAATCCGTATTTAATAGGACACAAATCAAATTCTGCCTAAGGTTAAATAAATTCATATTCGCTTACGTGAATATATGGCACGTAACTGTTAAACTGTTGGGCACAGATTTAAATGCCACCAGTGGTTTGATGTATGAATAATTCATATCTATGTATTTATTAGTTTTCGATAATTTAACAATCGTTTTAAACTGTGTTGACCAGTGCAGACACTGTTATTTATGAGTTTTCTGTTGTATGAGAATATTTGTTCAGATATTAATGTGACTACCCAAAAATGTTACCATTTTTTCCTAGATGGAAGGGCAAAAAAGATACGATATGTCTACTCATTAGCAATTAACAAACATCATACACGAAAAACTGACAGAACGAGGAACATTTAAAGATAGAAAGATAGACAGAGGAAGGGGTGCAAGTATTTTTCCCGAGAATGAAAAAGCTATTTTAAATTATTTTGAAGCATATACTCTTAACTCATTTAGGCAAGTATCGAGGGAACTTAATTCAAAGAAACAGTTTTCAGATTGGATGAGTTTCTGTAGAACTGAAGGGACATGTTCAAGAGAATCTTCATGGGATTTTATCGGGTATCTCAAAGTTGAGTAATTTATTTTAACAGCTGGTAGAACTCGCAAAAAGAGTCGATTTAGCAAAAATCGTTTATACAGGGTGTTAGTAAATAAGTGCGACAAATTTCAGGGGGTGATTCTACATGAGAAAATAATGGCAGTTTGCTTATAAACGTATGTCCGCAAATGATTCGTTTTCCGAGATACGAGGTGTCATAGTTGTTCTTAAAAACTGACGATTTAATTTATTGCTCTGAAACCGGTCGAGATATGCAAATGCAGTTTGGTGGGTTTTAAGAGGAAGTTATTGCGCATTTTTTGACACGCAATTAAGAATTGTATGTTCATCATTGGCGCGCGTACGGGTAATAATCTCAATTTTTTTAAAGAAAAAAATGGTACGCCACTGAGATATTACAAATTAAAAATCATTTTTGAATTCCTCGTTCAATTTGTGACAAAAAATCTCT